ATGCAGCTGATTCATCAAGCTGTCTTTAACAGTTACAGGCAAAGAGTCCTTTCCTTAGAGTGATTCTAGCACTGCCAGAAGTTTGATGCACTTAACATAGTGCTTTTCCTTCAGATATGCTTTGCACAGTTTCTCCTGCTGATTTTGGCAGACAACTAACTTTTGTTGAAGAGAACACTTGCCCATCAGTGTGGAATTTCTGCTGGCAAACACAGAGGGAAAGAGTGTTTTACAGAGGTAGCTATAGGTCCCAGAATATTCCATTTGGAGATGGCCTCAGTGTAAAAGAATTATGCTACAAATGCAAGTATTTAAGACCAGAGTTTCAATAACACGTGCCAAAAGCTGATACAAATGAATGGAATTAGAAGGTATCTAGTTTATCATTCAACTCTTTCATCAAGAAGATGCGGGGAAAAAAGGTATTCTGATATCATAATATGACAAAGTTATTTTCTCAAAATCAAAGACATTCTTATCATAGCATCATAACTTTCAAGTTCCTGTGACTTCCTTTGTCCATTTGATCATATTTAATGGATGTTTATCTGAGTGGTGGCTAAGACAGACATATTACTCAGAAGGAGAATGCTTTCCCTGTTAGTTGTTCAAAATACTGTGAGATCAATGCAAGTGAAATCTATTTTGCTGATGTGCTCCTGAGAGCAGTCCCCATTTACCAAGTTAGTTGATATGAAGTCCTTTATATCTGTACTGCTTCTGGCTGGCCCTCTCTTGACTAGACTGGCAGTGTCTGTGCAGCACGTAGGATTGAGCTCTCCCTGCCCTAAGTTGCTTCACTTCTGTTCATACATTTCCAGAAACTGGCCAGTTATTATTTTACCAGTTGCAAATTCATCCCTTGTTTTCACTGATTCTGGAATCCACACAGCCCATGAAGAGGAATGTGGTTTAGTCATACAAAGTGTGGTATCTGTATTGTTGCTTTAGCACAGTTATTTTCCCTTAAAACCCTGCAGCTAAATAAAAGTGAAGAAGATTTGTCTGCCTTGCTCTTTACTGCTCTTCGGACCAGGCCATCAAGAAGAAGGGGAGAAGAGTGCTCTTGCTGAGATCGACTGGGCCTTCCCTGCTAGGGGGACTTCTGCTGTGAGGAGGGAAGGAATAGTAAGCAAGGAGATTACAGAAGGGGTAGAAGATAGTTAAGAAAAGCATGGAGCAGACCCTGTAGCTAGATCTGCAAGGAGGAAAAGAAATATTATCTTCATTCTTTAGTGCATGCAGGGGGAAACATAGTGATAGAGGCTGAGTAAAAGGCTGAAGTACTCAGGGCCTTCTTTGCCTTGCTTTTACATAGTTCTTGGGGTACCCAGTCCCCTAAACTGGAAGTCAGGAATGAGGAACATAATGAAGCTCCCCTAAACCAAGGGGAAATGGTTAGTGACATGTTACACCCCTTAGACATGCACAAGCCTATGGGACTGGATGGTATCTACCCAAGGGTGCTGAGGGAGCTGGCAGGGGTACTCACTGAGCCACTTTCAGTCCTTTACCAGCAGTCCTGACAAACTGGGGAGATCTCTGTTGAGTGGAAGTTAGCAAATGTGATACCCATCTACAAGACTGGAAGGAGAATCTGGGGAACCTCCTGGGTAGGGGAAGGTCATGGAGCAGATTATCTCATGTGCCATCATGCAGCATGTACAGGACAACCAGGGTTTTCAACCCAGTCAACAAGGGTCTGCGAAGGTCAGGTCCTGCTTGACTAACCTGATCTCCTCTTATGACAAGGTGACTCAATTCCTGGATGAGGGAAAGGCTGTGGAAGTTGTCTACCTTCATCAGGGCCAAATGCTGTGTCCTGGACTTGGGTCATAACAGTACAAAGCTGCCTGGTGGAAAAGGACCTGGGGATGCTGGTCAACAGCCTGCTGGACATGAGCTGTCCCCAGGTGGCCAAGAAGGCCAATGACATCCTGGCTTGGATCAGAAATTTTGCGGTCAGCAGGTCCAGTGAAGTGATCATTCCCCTGTACTCAGCACCAGTGAGGCTACACTTCAAATCTTATGTTAAGTTTTGGGCCCCTCACTGCAAGAAAGACACAGAGATGCTGGAGTGTGTCAAGAGAAGGGCCACACAGCTGGTGAAGGGTCTGGAGCACAAATTTCATGAGGAGAGGCTGAGGAAGCTGGAGTTGTTTAGCCTGGAAAAAAGGAGGCTCAGGGCAAACCTTTTCACTCTCTACAACTACCTGAAAGGAGGGTGTAGTGAGGCGATGGTCTGTCTCTTCTCCCAAGTAACAAGTGATAGGACAAAGGGAAATGGACTTAAGTTGTGCCACGGGAGGTTTAAATTGGATATTAGGAAAAATATCTTCACCAAAAGGGTTACCAGTCATTGGAATAGACTGCCCAGGGAAGCCGTTGAGTCACCATCCACGGAGGTATTAAAAGGCATATAGATATGGTACCTGGGGATCTGGTTTAGTGGTGGACTTGAAAGAGCTAGGTTTGGGTTGGACTCAATCTTTAAGGTCTTTTCCAATCCATGTGATTTTATGATTATGTGATTTTTTCCTAAATGCTATGGGGAGTCTGCAGTGTGTGTTGCCATCCAGCTGTTTATGAATAAGCCATGGTATTTATCAAACTGGAATCAAACCCAGTTGAATTCAATCATTAATTAGAATTAGGTCTTCAAATTGATGTAAAGTATAATTGAGAGATACATAGATACAACTATGTGTAAAAAAAAAAAGAGGGTTGAAACTACTGTAAATTTCAAATTAAAATAGATCTTTACTAATTTTTTTAAATACAATTTTGAGACTGATTAAGAACTTTAATACAGTAATCAAATTACCATATTTTAATCAAGTACTGTAAGTCTTACTTTGTTCTTAGATATGAATACTTGGTAGAGACCAGGAGGCCATCCTTTCTTTTATGCTTAGATCCCCAAAATTAGAGTTTTGCAGACTACATAAATTAAACACATGTAGCTTACTGTCAGTCAGAGGTAATAATCCTAAACTGTGTTGCCACTTTTTACTAAGTGTCTTTATGAAGCTCATTAGAGGAGTTTGAAGTCTGTTGGCTTTTCTTCCTGGTTTCTGCTCTTTGGAGCCTTGTCGATATTCAGACTTGCACACCCGCAGCAGTTTTGTGTACTGAAAATAAAACAAGTTAGGATGTCATTTAGATAAGGAAGCAACTGCCACTCTTTTCCCTGTGATGGTATTGTACAGCTGAAAATGTCACAGAACCGAGTTTTCTAGAGGCCTTGCAGTCTTCTGGAACCTGGCAGAGTTGTCTTTGGAAAATTGTGACGGTTTCCTGGCTGAATGCTTTTATTTGATGAGTCTTTAGATAAAGGAAGGGAGGCACATGTTTTCCATCAGTTTTACTTGTATGCTTCTTTCTATAAAGGGAAGAGGCATAAAGTGTTTGGCTTAAGGCTTTACATTCTGTGTGCAGACAACTGCAGATGCTCAAATCACCTACTAAATCATCTTCACGAATTGGGGATTTTGGCCTCTTGGCAACTCTAGTCATTAAAATTTATCTAAAAATTAAAGGTAGGTTGGGGTGATATATATACTTGTTTAGAGAAACTTTGAATATCAGTCTGCAACTACTGAGAGAGAGAGTAAAAGGAAGAAAGGAAGGGAGTTAGAGGTGGGAAGGGAGGGAGGGAGGAAGGGAAAGAAAAAAAAAGAAAGAAAAGAGAGAGAAAAAGAAAGGAAAGAAAGAAAGGAAAGAAAGAAAGAGAAAGAGAGAAAGAAAGAAAGAAGGAAGGAAGGAGAAAGAAAGAGAAAGAGAGA